TGGATGCCAGTTCCGACTTACATACAGATTCAACTTAAGAACAAACCTACAGTCCCTATCTTGTACGTAACCCGGGGACTGCCTGTATTCCCAAGCCACTTTGGAAAAATCTGGGAATATTTTTTTCCATGCTGAAAGCTAAAACTGCAATGTGGCTACTCTCCCTGGGGCTTCCTCTGGCTCCTTGCAAAATACAGTTATTGTGCATTCTCTAAGGGTATGTCTACACTACCCTCCTAGTTCGAACTACCTAGTTCGCGCCCCGTGTAGCCGCGCTGCATGGGGTTCGACCAAGCCACTTTGGAAAAATCTGGGAATATTTTTTTCCATGCTGAAAGCTAAAACTGCAATGTGGCTACTCTCCCTGGGGCTTCCTCTGGCTCCTTGCAAAATACAGTTATTGTGCATTCTCTAAGGGTATGTCTACACTACCCTCCTAGTTCGAACTACCTAGTTCGCGCCCCGTGTAGCCGCGCTGCATGGGGTTCGAACGAGCGGGGTTTTAAAAATGGCGGCGCCCCGCTTATGCAAATGAAGCCCGGGATTTGAATTTCCCGGGCTTCATTTACATAAGCGGGGCGCCGCCATTTTTAAAACCCCGCTCGTTCGAACCCCATGCAGCGCGGCTACATGGGGCACGAACTAGGTAGTTCGAACTAGGAGGGTAGTGTAGACATACCCTCAGAGAGCAGTAACTAAGTAATTCTGATGAATCTGACATTGAATTTACACTCCCTTTGGAACCACGAAGAAGCTAAGACAGCCACATTTTGGATAATCCTCTTTGGCTAATTAGTGAAAAATATAACTTAATTATATGATCAGCACCCAAGGAAGGGTTCGCCACCAAAAAGACCAGCAAAAACCAGCTTCCTAAAAGGTGGGTTTTAAACTTAATCCTGGAGAGTACTCAACACCCGCCAGAATCAGGCCTTAAATTTATAACATGATATAGCCCACTCTGAGACAGACTTTTATCCCTGTGTAATACCTAAAATTCAGATCTCTCTATGTCCACACAGTAGTTGCTAAGACATGTGGTTTGCCAGTTTTGATTGAATGTAGTCCTGGAGGTTTCATCTAGAATTAAAGAACAAGGCCGTCCCATCCCCCACCCTCTGTGTGCCAGGTGTGAGGCCCACGGCAACTCCCCTGCTGCAATCCCCGACCCCCTACTCCACCCCTGCCCTGCTTCTGAGCAATATAACCCAGAGGATTATGAGGGGCCTGGCACATGGCAGCACGGGGTCATCCCACCCCCACACTCATCGCAGCAACAGTGGCCTGGCAACCTGTTCCACTCCACCCTGCTGCATCTTCCTTTCAGCCCACTGTGCCCTGCTTCTCCACGGCAGTAGGAAGCGGAGTGCCCGAAGGCTGGGGCGTTTTGCTTCCTGCTGCTACTGAGAATCATAGAATCACAGAGCTGGAAGAGACCTCAGAAGGTCGTCAAGTCCAGCCCCCTGCCCAAGACAGGACCAGTTCCAACTAAATCAACCCAGCCAGGGCTTTGTCAAGCCGAGACTTAAACACCTCTAGGGATGGAGACTCCACTACTTCCCTAGGGAACCCATTCCAGAGAAGCTGAGCACAGCGGGCTGGGAGAGGGCAGCAGGATGGAGCAGAGCAGGCTGCCAGGCCACTTTAGCTTTGCAGGGGGGTGACCCTGCTGCTGCCACACCAGGCCTCCAGCCCCAGGTATCCCACAGGTCCTGTCCGTGGGACGGTTGGGGCAGCCACCCTGAGGACCCCAAAAGCACGGAGTCTGGGACAGCCACCCTGACCCTATGGACATGATGGCTCTGTGAAAGAGCAATCTTTGATACCTGGAGACTCCAGGACAATCCTGGAGGACTGGCAATCCTATAAATAAAACAAGGTGTTATCTCTTAAAGGCGGGGTCCATACTGCCAGTTTCCCAGGGTATCATGGTTAGATATTAGCAGCAGTTAACCACTTGCTACTGGTAATCTGTGTTTCCAACAGAGATAATATTTTTCTCTCACAATCTGTGCTCCCAGCTTCGCTCACATTTGGCCATGTGAATCACAAATATAATCTGATGCAGTTAATTAACTACATTCTGGGCTCCCAGTTCCTGTTTTCTCTGTAATGTGGGGTGGAAAGGGAGGGGGACTTCCTTTTGCAACGTTCAGTAGTGCATCAAAGATCGTTGAACTAAGCAAAGGCCATAGAGACATCAAGCAAAATTTGGCTGTCAGTTATTCTGGTGTAAATCTAGAGTAATTCTACTGATTTCTGTGGAGCTGTTCCAGATTTACACTAGTGAACTGAGAGCAGACTTTGACCCAGTGTACCTACATGAAACAGTGTGGATCCAATCTTGCAAACCCCCTCCCCTGCACAGACACTCACCTGGGAAACTTTTATTGATTCCTGTGGAAGTTTTATACTCTATGGCTGACACAATTGAGCCCTGTAACTTTGTGGTGCTTACAAGAAACCTCAGCAGTGAGTTATGGGACAATAAATGCAACTAGGTAAAAGGAGTCATTGCTTGCAAATCAGCGCTGATGTTTTAAAGGAAAACGCTGACTAGAAACTTCAATATTTGGCTCAACAGATGGATTATTAAGCAACAGGAGCCCTGGGTCAGATTTACAAAGGTATTAAGGTGCCTAAAGATGTGGATGGGGGTGATTAGTGTAATTTACAAAAGAACCTAAACTAGTTAGGTGCCTAACTCTCATTGGAACATAGGCACCTAATCTACTTAGTCACTGCTATAAATCACACTAATCACCCTATTTGCATCTTCTGGCACTTAAATACCTTTGGAAATCTGTCCCCCTGTCTCTTGGGACATTTAAGACAACACTGGACAAAGCACTAGTGAATACATTTCATATTTCCAATACTCAAGGTCAGCTCCTATACTGGGCCTTGAAGAATGAACTAGATGAACTCAGATTTTTCCCATTCCTAATCGCTGTGTTTCCATGATCCATTCATGACTTTCCCTGGCTGCCTCACTGAAATGTTTCAGGTCATTCTTGCTCTACAGGTGCTGGTTTTTTTTCTCTGTCTCGTTTTAGTAAATATGTACATTACACTTCAACTGTTCTCATGTTGTGGGGGAGGGAGGGATACTTGCCCATCAACACAGAGCCAGGATTTACTACAAACTTTCCAAGGTGAAATATACTAGACTTTGCTTTTACTGCCACTCTACTGAATAATTATAGGGGAAAATGCAAATGTGCATGCAAATAAGAGATCACCTGATCTCCTCATCGTGTCTAATGTTGAGCACTTTCCTGTGTTCTCTAGCACAAGGCCAGTTATTAGCCCTTGAGAAGTGGGGAGGGAGTAGGCCTGGGTACTAAAGATAACAGATGCACTGCAAGGGAATTGCATCTGATTAAATTTCAGCATTTGGGGTTTGTTGCCAATTCATATGTGCATGCAAATAAGAGATCACCTGATCTCCTCATCGTGTCTAATGTTGAGCACTTTCCTGTGTTCTCTAGCACAAGGCCAGTTATTAGCCCTTGAGAAGTGGGGAGGGAGTAGGCCTGGGTACTAAAGATAACAGATGCACTGCAAGGGAATTGCATCTGATTAAATTTCAGCATTTGGGGTTTGTTGCCAATTCATGCATTCATTTGTCAGCTAAAATGGCAAATCATGAAATAGAGCTGTGGAAGAAATTTCCTGGGCCTGGAATAACTTAGCCCCTCCTGATGTCAAGGCTCCCTCTCTGACATTGTTTGCCATGTCTTTCACATTGTGTTGTTGTTACTATCATCATTAGCATTTGGTTCATGGCAGCACCTAGGAAACCCATCATAGAGTAGGTGCGAAGCATTCTAGAGAGAAACAACAGAAAACCCCTGGCCCAAAGAGATATTATCCAGCCAGCTTTCCCATTTTGTCATCCATTCAAAAAACAAGAATCAGAGATGCAGCATTGTCAGGAGGCCAAAGCCTCTGGGACAGTGGTTCTCAACTCGTTTCAGTCCACGGACCACCAGGCCAATCAAAAAAATTTTGTGGACCACCTCCTTTTTGATACATGATAAAAAAGAGCAAACAACGAACATTTTGGTTTGAAAACGTGTAAAACAGCCTAATAGCGGCGCCTGCTGAGACAACGAACATTTTGGTTTGAAAATGCGTAAAACAGCCTAATAGCGGCGCCTGCTCACACTGTGTGACTTTGGACAATGTTCCTGTGGACCACCGAAAAAGTCACCATTGACCACCAGTTGAGAACACAGCTCTAGGAGCAGAGCAGTAGGAATTCTGCGCTCAGTTCCTATGTCTGCCACTGACTCAGTTTGTGGCCTTGGGCAAATCATTTAACCTCAATGTGCTTCACTTTTCTCCCTTTGAAAAATAAAGGGAGCAGTACTTCTTCACCTTGAAGAGGAGGTTGCATTCATTAAATCATTATTAAAGCACTTTGAGATTTGCTACCAGTGACAAACAATGGCTGACAATGATATGATGCCCCTTTTGCCTGGTCCAGGGTTTCAGTCTTCTGGAATTGAGGAACCCCTTCCAGCTCCTAATTCCCTTCAATCACTCCTCTTCTTTGACCGGTTAGGGGTAGGAGAAGCAGGTACTTTGAACTGAATCCCATGTCTCAAGATATGTTGTTCATTCATAAACATAACATAAGGATTTTATATCTGGTCATCAAAGCACGAGGAGCGGGCCAGGGGGTGAGGGAAATGGTGGGGAAGCGAGAAGTGATAGCAAACATTTTTGTTCCTCACTGTTATTTACCCCGTCCTTCAATGTTTCAGCCCAGGAAGTGCATGGAAAATGCCACGTTCCTTTTTGGTGAAGAGTAAGAAGGCCCATACCTACCACCAGCACCACTCTGAGGATGAGGACCTGACTGTACCCACATGGGATCCAATACCATCCCTCTGCCTTGGTGAGTCAGATCCATTCTCCAGGTTTGTTGATGTACACCCAGGCAACTGGCTATTGGAAAGCCATGCTGACAGTGTAACATAGAGCTGTGATAACCAGCTGGGAACCTCTTTAAGTCGCTTGCCTGTTGAAGTCAATGGGAGTTTCGTTTGAGTCAAGAGTATGAACAGATTAAACAGTGAGTGAAGGGCTCTAATGTGGAGACACTAACTTCCCCATTGCAGGGTTTTTCTCTTGAACTCCTTCTCTAGACCACTGTTTCTCAACCTTTTTTTTTTTTTTTATAAATTTACACCTAAAAATTGTAAGTACCACCAGTACCTACAGTTTTCAGACACACCAAATTTTTTTCTACCATTGCAACACATTTATTTAAACAACATAATCGTAGTCAGGCAGACAAAGACATTTTTGGGTGTAAAAAGTACAAAAATAATAAAGTGCGGTAAAACTTAAAACAAAAATTCAGTTTTCTCCAAATTTCAGTTGTGTTGACGTATCCCTCTCCCCCCGCCCGACTTCTCTCAAGTACCTCTAAGGGTACTCATACCACTGGTTGAGAAACACTGCACTAGACCAAATTGGCTACTGGCATAAATAGGTACAACCCTGTTGAAGTCTATGGAATTTGACCTTTTATTCAGAAACTGAATTCGCCCTCTCCCCTTTGACTTCATGGTTTAGTGATTCCAGGGGGCAGTTCAGAGACACTAGTACTATACATGACGGCTTTACTCACACATATGAATTTCAGCGCTTGAATAGATGTGTTTCTATTGATTTCCAGATCACTGACTCAGCTGCATGGAAATCATTGCAAAAAGCCCTCCCTCCTTCGCTTTCTTTCATTTTAAATATATTTATTCCCATTTTCACCCAGAGGGCAGTTATAGTACATGCATTGAAACCTGCATGGATCCCACTGCCCTTAGGTTCAGCAAAGGCAGCCAACTCCAGCAAACATTCACTAGTGATCAGAAATGCTTAGAGTTGATGGCTGAATTTTCACTGGTTCCTAACTATGCTGTCTATTGGCCACACATATACTCTTCAGCTTTGGCCCATCTATGCCCTGTCACTATTGATAGGTCTACGCTGTACCCGCAGGTGTGAATGGCAGGTTGTACATACACCTGCAGTAGCTAGCTCACTAAGGGCATGACTAAACAGCAGGGCAAAAGTCGAATTAAGCTATGCAACTTCAGCTATGTCAATTGCGTAGCTGAAGTCGAAAGAGCCTAATTCGGCTTTTGGCACTGTCTACACAGCAGGAAGTCGAAGGAAGAACACTCTCCCTTTGACTTCCCTTATTCCTCATGAAATGAGGGTTACAGGAGTCGGAATAAGAAGTCCTCCAGCTCACCATTATTTTGAAATGATGACTTGCTGTGTAGACATGCTCTTTTGTTATTTCGAAATACCGGCAGTTATTCCGAAATAACACTCCTGTACCCTAAAAGCAGATGCAAGGAAGCTATGACATGGACTTCAGTGGGGACTAGGTACACGCCTAGGCACATGTGCAGGTAGTGCCGAAGTCTGCACTGCACCATCCTCACTTCTAAGCTAAGGCGCAGCAAGTCCAAATATGTCTACCGGAGCTGCAAGTCACGCCCCTGGCTGCAGAGTACCCTATATCTGCACTTCGCTGTTTGTGCATTACCAACCAGCGGCAAGGTGTAAGGAATTTCACAGCAGGCTGGAGGGGTGAAAGGATATCAGTGTAGTCATGGCTGTGAAAGGAGTTGCCCCTGACTATTTCACAGGAAGGAACTCCAGGGCATACCAATATGTGCTGCCTGCCCTTATACCAGCCGTCTTTTTTGTGCCGACTGACCCCCCTCATCCCTGTGCATCCTCCCACAGCTGTCGCTGGAGCAGAACAGTGGGGGCAGTTATCTTCACCCTTCAGACACCATTCAAATGTACTTTATTCAAATTCAGGCTCAATTTACAGTTTGTTTTGGCCCTGTCTCTGAAACCAGAGCCTAGTCCTGCCGTACCCTCATGGAAAGAAGCCAAGAGACAGCATGTCAAATCCCCATCCTTTGGAGAGGAATATAGTCCAGTTCAGTACCAAGGAAGGGTTTGGCCCTTTCTCTGCTCCCTTCAAGAAATCCCAGCCTTTTCCAGAATCTATGACACGCTCCCTTTTCAAATTGTCCAACTCCTCCCATTGCCAAGGTCAGCCCGTTGCTGAGCAAGGAGAAAGGCGAAACTAATCATAGAATCATAGAATAATAGGACTGGAAGGGACCTCAAGAGGTCATCGAGTCCAGCCCCCCGCCCTCAAGGCAGGACCAAGCTCCATCTACACCATCCCTGACAGATGTCTATCTAACCTGTTCTTAAATATCTCCAGAGAGGGAGATTCCACCACCTCCCTTGGCAATTTATTCCAATATTTGACCACCCTGACAGTTAGGAATTTTTTCCTAATGTCCAATCTAAACCTCCCCTGCTGCACTTTAAGCCCATTACTCCTTGTCCTGTCCTCAGAAACCAAGAGGAACAAATTTTCTCCTTCCTCCTTGTGACACCTTTGTAATACCGCACCTCAGACCAATTCAGGCACTTGGAACAGGCTCATTAAAGTACCTTTGTCTAACCAGCAAAATGTGGTAGGTGAGTTTTAGAGATGGCATGGCCATGTGTACAGAAACATGAGGGCCAATCAACACAGACATAGGGAGGAGATTAGCTCTTTTGACCTCAGTTTATCTGTCTAGAAGATGGGGATAATAATCCCAAACTCTCTGCAGGAAGGACGGTGAGGCTGAATTTGTTTATGATTGTTAAGCTTGTGAATGAGAGATGTTATATGTGTTGAACTTATTTTAACAAACCCATGGACCCTTGGGATTCCATGTCTGTCAGCCTGCTGCACAACACTCCTTCCTCCCTGTTTCCCTCCTCCCAGTCCCTGGTTTGCCACGTGGACCTTCAAGGCAATGATAGACTGTAGATTCTTTTTCTCCATCATACACAAGCCCTGACTCTGGAGCTAAGAATAATCTTCATTACCAGTTAGCACTATAGGGCTTATGATACACAGTCAGGCAGTTCTGATCCCATCCACCAGAGGACAATGATGCACATACACACTCACTAACTCATTACAGCATCGATATTTTGCCAGCTAGAATAACCTAATCCTGATGCTATTCTGCTCACAGCCCCATGTGACAAGTCACCAGAGGAAGTCAGGACCTTCAGCACAGAGTTCAAAAGCGAGTACCCAGAATGCCTTGTTCCGAAACAAGAGAAGGACTGTGCTGGACTGAAGGAAGAAGGTGCACCTGCCCCGTATCTGAACAGGACATTGTCGAGTGCTCCAGCTCAAGGTTAGCTACACAAGGCCAGACTCTCCAAAGAGCTCAGGGCCAGTTTTTCACATGCTTGGTGTAACACTGACAGGCAGAACCAAACCCGGGACCTCTAGAGCTTAGTGCAGGAGCCTCTACGTCTCTGAGCTAAAAGCTAGCTGGCTCATAGCTAAGGCTGTACTAGAAACTCATTCTCCCTCTCTGTAAGGGCACATTTACACTGCACCCTTAGCGCGAAATAAGCTACACAATTTGAACTATGCAAATTGCATAGCTTATTTTGAGTCAATTTCAAAATAGCTTATTTCAAAATTTGTCACTGTCCACACAGAGATGTTGGTGATCAAGAGATAGACGGAAGCCCCACATGTCCACACACACCCATGCTACCGCACCCTTCAAGCACCACCTGTGAAACAGTCACCTCAAAGCCTCTGTTCTCAATCTGTGGTAAAACACGCCCTCAACTTGTGTGTGGCTGGCATTGCGCCAAACTAGGACGTACAAAGTGGGCTGCAGGGAAATACTTACCGCCCAGCCTGGAGTATCAGCAACAGATTTATGTCATGAGTGGCTCCTAGACCCCATACAGAAGAGCCCTGCCCCCTTATCAGTTATGAGAAGGCCTGTCGGTATTTCCCACTGGCAACATTTCCCTCTGAACTTTGGGAACAGGTCTGTGTTGTGCCAGAGAGCACAGCCATAAAACTGAGATTGAGATGTATCAGAACTAGGGATGTGAATAGTTCGCCAGTTAATCAGTCAACCGGTAAGCATTACCCTTACACCATGATGCTTACTGATTACAGTAAATTGGTGGGCTGGAGCAGTCAATGCCACGTCCAGCAATCCTCTCGGAGGTGCTAGCACCTAGGCTAATTGGCTACGTCTAGACAGCGGGGCTATTACAGCCCTCCACTCACCATGGGCAGGGAGCTGCTGCAGCCCTGCGGGGCCTGCCATGGGCAGAGAATGCACAAGTCCAGCCAGAGCAGCCCCCATCTGCAGTGGCCCAGTCCAGTACGCCATGGACAGGAGCACTCTGGCCCGTCTGCAGCAGCCCCTGTCTGCAGCGGGCCCAGGCTAACAGGAGCTGCCCCCAGCCAACTGATCAACCAGTTAACTGAGTAACTGGGATTTTACCTCCCTAGTCGGAGCCCCTTAACCGTGAGCTTGCACTGCAGTTTCTCCCAAGAGAGAAGAGACGATAATGAATGCAAAGAGAACTTCTTACTGATGGTGTTGGTCAATGCCACATCCAGCAATTCTCTTGGAGGTGCTAGCACCTAGGCTAATGGGCTACGTCTAGACAGCGGGGCTATTTTGGGATATCGGAAGTATCCCGAAATAACAATTCCCCATCTTTAAATACACCCGTTATTTCAAAATATATTTCAAAATAACGGGTATGCTATTCTGGTGTCCCTGTAACCCTCGTTCTATGAGGGTTGAGGGACTTGTTGGAATAGTGCTTTATTTAAAAATCGAGCGCTGTGTACACAGTGCCAAATTTCGAAATAAGCTATTTTGAAATAACCTTGAAACAAGCTACGCAATTTGCATAGCGCAAATTGCATAGCTTATTTTGAGGTAAGGGGCTGTGTAGACACATCCATTAAGTGCTAGATTAGTTTAATTAAATATATTTTAAAAAAAGGTTCAAGTTTCGAAAAGGGCAACAAAATTAAAGGTTTGGAACGGGTCCTATATGAAGAAAGATAAAAAAGACTTGGATTTTCACCTTAGAAAAGAAAAGACTAAGGGGGGATATGATAGAGGTCTATCAAATCGTGACTGGTGTGGGAAAAGTGAATAAGGAAAAGTTATTTACTTATTCCCACAATATAAGAACTAGGGGTCACCAAATGAAATTCATAGGCAGCAGGTTTAAAACAAACAAAAGGAAGTTTTTCTTCACTCAGCTCACATTCAGCCTGTGGAACTCCTTGCCAGAGGATGTGGTGAAGGTTAGGACTTTAATAGGGTTCAAAAAAGAGCTAGATAGATTCATAGAGGTTAGATCCATCAATGGTTATTAGCCTACTAGAATGGTGTCTCTAGCCTCTGTTTCTCTGGAGGTGGGTAACAGGGGAGGGTTCACGTGAGGATTACCTGTTGTGTTCTCTCCCTCTGGGGCATCTGTTACTGGCCACTGTCGGCAGACAGGATACTGGGCGGGATGAACCATTGGTCTGACCCAGTATGGCCGTTCTTATGTTCTCCCTAAGACCTGGCCTGACCTGGGGATCCATGAAGGAGACTGAACTGTGATCTGAATGTTGTGGCTTGGGCCCCTCAGTGTTTGAACTGAAGAGCACTAGTTACTCACTGTCCCCTCTAGCTTTCTTTAGTCAGCTATTTCCATTACCAGTATTATGTAGCAATAAAATGACTGTGCTGAGCAGGTCTGGGAGCATTTGCATGAGTCCCCAAGCAAAGCAGAGAGCATGCCACTCTCTTCTTCTTCTCCTTTGCGACCTCAGAGACATCCCTGCCGGCTCTGCGAGTTAAAGACTGCAGCAGTTCCACCAGCACCCCCGCCTTCTACAAGCCCAGCTTCTCTTGGGACGTCTTCCACTCTCCATACAGCTACAGGCAGATGACTTCCAGCATGCAGTCAGCCCTTCTGGAGCGCTCAGTTAGTCTGTATGGCAGCCACCTCCTGCCAAGTTCTGAGCCGCCTCTCGATTACAGCATGCGTTACTCGCCAGACATGGAGACCTACCACTGTGTGAAGTGCAACAAGGTGCGTCCCCCAGAGAGGCCACACAAGGCCAGGGCTGGCCCACAACATTTTGGCACCTGAGGCGGGGAGCTCAAATGACGCCCCCATGTCCCCTCGCTTGGGCCAAAACTTTGAAAGGTCTCAATGCTGCCTTCTTCCTGTTCTACTCCTCTCATGGCACTCCACCATCTCTGTGCATCTAGAGCAGAGAGAATACATAGGCATCCGCAGCAGACACAATTTTCTACAATCTGGGTCCTAGTGGCGCGAGCCCCCCGCACAGTCTGGCACCTGAGGCGGCCGCCTCAGTTCACCTCATGGTAAGGCCAGCCCTGCACAGGGCTGGGGAGGAGCCTGGGGTGATTTTCATCACACACATACACCAGGGATATAGAACGGTTAACTGATAGGGGCTGGAGAAGCTCCCCTCCCCCTCCAGACAGGGGGCTGCTCCAGTCCTGTGGGGCCTGCTCCAGCCATGTTTGGCCCATCGGAGCAGCTCCTGTCTGTGGCGGCCCAGCCAGAACCCCAACCTCTGTCACAGGCTTCCCAGGAGTGGGGCTAGCAGGGGCTCCCAGAGAGACTATAGTAAAGCCTCCCTCCCCGGGACCAGAGCTGGCAGAAAAGCCTCTTCCCTGAGAGCAGGGATGCTTTGCTGCAGGTTCTGCTTTAAGCTTTATACAGCAGAGCCTGCAGTGCACGTAACTGTGTAACCGCTATGACTTTAGGGGTTACACGGGTACAGTTTTAACTGCAGCTTTACATGCCTGGCATACACCAGGGTCCCACAGGTTTGAAATAAGGTACAAGGGACCCCGCTGGAGGACGAGTGCCAGGGATCCAGTGTGGCCAAGGACGCTGGGAGATTGTGCAAGCCATAGGTTCCTGGAGCTCCGTGCTCAGTCCAGCCCGGAGCGATGCCACACCTAAAGGATAGCTCCTACACTTGCCCTGACACAAGCCACCCCTGTTAGGTTGATAGCGGAAGGTCTCTGTAAACAAGCAACTGACTCTGCTGAGCAAAGATTGGGTGAAGCCACAGAGTTTGCATATGGCTCTGAATCTGAATATGACCAGTTTAGATCTAGAACAGGGGTGGGGAACCTAAGGCCCGGGGGCTGGATGCAGCCCCCAGCTTGCCTGGATCTGGTCCCCGAGGCTCAGGCTCCCCCCCGCCTCCAGCAGTGTTTAGCCTGTGCTGGGACTCCAGCCTCCCCATCACCTGACTGGAGCACACAAAATCGACTAGGCTGGGCCCTCTAGGCTCTGGTATGTGAGGGGAGTATGGGGAGTGTCTTTCTCCTTCTCAGTCGGGGGCCACGTCGGTGAGGATTTGGTTTTTTTTGTTTGTTTCTCACTTGTGTGCGGTCCCCGACTGATTTTTCTGTGGGTTAGTGGCCTCCAACCCAAAAAAGTTTCCCCACCCCTGATCTAGACTTTTGGCTCATTCCACGGGGAGGGCAAAGCTAGCTGCCATCTTCAGAGCCAGCGGGAAAGTTTGGGATGGGCGGGTGTGGACCCATGAGTTTGGTTTGACTCCCTTTCTGCCTGTAAATAAGAGTACCTCATTTGTCTAGCCCAGCAGTAAGCTAGCAGAGACAAAACTGGCCAATCACTCTCCTGGCTGGGGAACCAGTTCTGTGATTGGGCTCCGCTAATATAGGCAACTGGAGGGAAATGTTAGACAAAGAGAGGCAACTGGAAAATAGAGCTGAAGACATGGCCGTCTTTCAGGATTCTCATTAGCAGCTTTCCTCTTCTAGGTCTTCTCCACACCCCACGGGCTGGAAGTCCATGTCCGAAGATCTCACAGTGGGACACGGCCCTTTGCTTGTGATGTGTGTGGCAAAACATTTGGACATGCTGTGAGCCTGGAGCAGCACACCAACGTCCACTCCCAGGTTGGTAGCCCACAGGGAGCGGATGGGAGTGCAGAGTCACCTGTGGCACTGAATTCCCAAAGGGGCTGGCTCCTCTGATAACTCAAAGCAGGGTCTGGGCAAGCCCCATCTCTTGCTGAGTGCTCCTTGTTAGGCTAGATCTAGAGCTGTCAATTTATCTGCGTTAACGCCCGCGATTAACATAGGGAAGGGTTAACGTGTTAACAAAATTAATGCGTTAATCGCAGGCACATTAGGAGCTTTGGAACAGCTGGAGTCCCCAGTTGACCCCGGGCTCCGTGCAGCGCTGCCCCTTTGAAGTGCTGGAGCGGCGCTTCAAAGGGGCAGCAATGTGGAGCCAGGGATCAGCTGGAGTCCCCAGTTGACCCCGGGCTCTGTGCAGTGCTGCCCCTTTGAAGCGCTGGAGTGGCACTTCAAAGGGGCAGCGCAAAGCAGAGCCAGTGATCAGCTGGACACTCCAGCTGATCCCAGGCTCCTAATGCCTTCCAGCGCCTCAAATGGGCAGCGCAAGGCGGAGCCCAGGATCAGTTGGGGATTCCAGCTGACCCTGGACTCCCACGGTGCTGCCCCTTGGAAACGCGGTACTTCAAAGAGGCAGTGTAGCATTAATGCCTGTAATTAACGCAGGGTAGGATTAACCTGATAATTTTTTTAAACAGGTTAATCCGGCGCTGCATTAATTGCAGGTGTTAACGCACATCAATTGACAGCCCTACTTATAGCCCAGGACAAATAAAACACAGCTCTCTGAGGCTACCTGAGTTCTTTAGATATTGCTTTAGAATTTTCTATCCTTGAGGAAGGATAGGAAATCTGAAGAGCCCTGCTCAACACAAACCTTTCCCCAGACCACCGGCCTACCACCAATGATGACAAAATGGGTGCAGAACTGGGTGGAGGGTGGGGGTCTGGCCAGGAGATTGGGGTGCAGGAGCAGGCTGAGGGGGGGGGGTCTGGCTGGGATTTCGGCCCAGGGGAGCAGCAGGAAAAGCTTCCAGGAAAGCAGTTTCTTGCGTTGCCATTTCCCCAGCCAGGCCAAGGGGAAGCAGCAGCTTGCGTAGCCACTTCCTCCCCCACAAGCTGGATGCGGCCCCTGTGGCTCCACTCCCTGCAGCAGAAATCCAGCCTCACAGGGGGTAGAGCACCAGTGTGGGAACCCGTCCTGAGCCCACAGCCCTCCTGCAAGATGGTCACGGACCCACTGGTGGCCCCTAGACCACGCTTTGAGAATCCCTGCGTCAGATGGCACACCGCACATAACACGATTTGCTGGACTTTAATTAGCAGGGACTTTGGGAGGGATGAGATAATTAGAGATGGGTCTGTCTGAGCCCAACCAGGGGCAGCCCGTGGCTATAGACGGACTCGGCCACGGCTGACGATGACGTCAGTCCGAGAGCCCTGAAGGCGGGGGTGCCAATCGCGCTTTCCGCCTGGGGCGCCAGCTGCCGCAGCCGGCCTCAGGCCACTCTTGATCACAACATTCAGCTCTGGAGATGGTGCCAAATGTCCTGAGAGTGAAGGGGTGTCCAGATAGACTGGCTTTTGGTTCAGTCATTATAGCAAGATGAGTTCACCATGAGAAACGGGTCTGAGGCTCCTCAGAGTTTGAGACTGTTTGGATACAGAGATTTGTCTGACAATTCACCTGCTATAACAGAGGGGAAATCTCCAGCAGCTAGACACAACAGAATGCCAAGAACACAATGGCTAGATGGACTGGGGACAATGGACCTCATTCTTGGCACTCTGCTCTCATAAATCCCATGGCTCTCCTCGGTAATTCCCTTCATGTGTCAGAGGTTCCCTTGTGATAGTTTCCCACTCCTCCGATGAGGCATTTCTTCCTGCAAGACACAATCTAGTGGCTCAGATTCCTGTGCATTTTTTGGGACAGAGATTTTTTTGTCCTATGTTTGGATAGCGCCTAGCACAAAGTCCTGGTTCATGACTCATTGCTCCTGTGAGCTACTGGGATAATAAGAGTATTCCTAGGAGAGGATTACCTGATTTATCTTGTTTAATTTGCTAGCCTGCGTAGCTGTATACAATTAGAATAAATCTGATCCCTCCCCACCCCATACACGATCTCATTTCCCTCAACAGGAGAGAAGCTTTGAGTGTAAGATGTGTGGAAAGACTTTTAAACGCTCATCCACCCTGTCCACCCACCTCCTGATCCACTCCGACACAAGGCCCTATCCCTGCCAGTACTGCGGCAAGCGCTTCCACCAGAAATCGGACATGAAGAAACATACCTACATTCATACTGGTAAGAAACCTTCCTGATATAACACACACACACACTCACACACACACACACACACACACACACACACACACACCCCGAGCCCACAGCCGTCATGCAGTGCTCACACACCCCTGTCATATACACACGGACACACATGTACCTGAGCTGACAACACTTACATGCACACATAATAGTCCTGTACGCAGGAACTTCTGTGTGTGTGTGGGGGAGTGCTTTTTTAGTAAATGTGGACCACAAGGGTGTGAATGCACCCCCTATGGTTGCCCAAGTAAGTGAGGAAATCAGCCCCAGCTTTTCCCCAGCTGGTCAGAGCGTGCCTACTTAGGAGACCACAGTGGGGTGGGGGATGGGGAGGCAGGATACTTTCACACCCTTCGCACCCCCTCTGCATACGAGCCTGAATAACCACACGCTGGAAGACATGACACAACACCGATGTGTGCACCTGAACCCACAACATTCATGCACATCCAGGTGGGTGCACATACTCAGACCTTTGAGCCCAGTGTTCATGCACATGCTTGTGTATATGCACTGAGATCATGCACAGAACGAGGTGGATGCCCAGTGTATGTGTTTTACCTGTTGCATGTATAGCAGCAGCAGGAGGGTACGACAGATGCGTTCCCACCTGTGCAAAGGGGCAGCACAAGATCGAGGGTGAGGCACCAACAAATTCCCACTGGACCCCTGCTGGGTCTGAATGTTCCCATTTGTGACCCAGACCATCATGTTGGGTGGGACTGCATTGGTGTTCAGCTTGGGAGAGCCGGGGTGGGGGTGCAGGGATCAGAGACAGGGAACAAAATAACCAGGCCATGATAAAAAAGAGGATGGAAAGCAGCAGAGAGGGCACAGCCTTGGCAGTCCCAGAAGAGAGGCCCGCTCTCCCCTTAGTCCTAAAGTTTCAGAGGGGTAGCCGAGTCACTCTGTAACAGGAAAAACTTCAAAAACAACCAATAGTCAAGTAGCTCTTGCGGGAGCCAGGGTGACACATCAGCGGGTCAGTGTCCGGCCTGGAGACCCACATTGCTCCAGCCTGTCGGCCCAGCACAAGCAGCCTCCCCAGTTTGAGTCAGTGATGGTTTGTTTCTGTCTCATAGGGGAGAAGCCCCACAAGTGCCAAGTGTGCGGCAAAGCCTTCAGCCAGAGCTCCAACCTCATCACCCACAGCCGCAAGCACACCGGCTTCAAGCCCTTCAGCTGTGAGCTCTGTGCCAAGGGCTTCCAGCGCAAGGTGGACCTGCGGCGGCACAGGGAGAGCCAGCACAGCTTGAAGTGAGAGCACTCCCCCGCGCTGTCCTGGAGCCCTCAGCCCCAGCCCCATGGCATCCCACCAGTCTTCTGGCCTCTGCCTGGCTTGGGGCACCCCCGTGTTCCATGCTTCTCTCTGCCTCGATGCTCTGCGGGACTGGCCCAGCAATGTCATTCTCCCTGGTGTTACCCCCATCACCCTGTGCGTGACAAGAAAGGCACTGCCGGGAGCACTCACTGCCCAGTTTTATCGGCTCTGGCCTCAGCCACTCCACTGTAAATCCAGACTCCCCTGGAGGCACCAGTCCTCTGGATTGACACTGAGTGACAGATCCGACTCCTTTCACTCACGGGCAACCCGGAGGGACTTCTGGGTTGATGTTACTAAGGAGCCAGCAATCTGTGCCAGGCAAGCTCCATAATCCCATTCTACTTCCATGCTTAGGACAATAAGGCCTGGGCATGCAAATAATTTGTATTCAGTGAGCTGTGCTCAGCTAAAACAGGGCTTCCTCTGAGGGCATAAATTTGGGGCACATCCACCTAGACTTTCATTCTCACCAGAGGAGTCCCTTTGTTATCGGGGAAAATATGTGGCCATGTATGTGTATTTTACAATAGAGTTGGAGGGGAGGATACTGACCAATCAGACCCTACACACCAAGATTAGTACCACCGGGCTAACTACATGGACTTCTGAGTTACTTGCTATTCAGGACAGTGGGGAATTTTGTTTCCCTGTCACTCTTACAGAAGGAGAAGCTGATCTATCCATCGTGCATCCCATACATTGCTATGTAAGTACCCTGCAAGTATTAGAAAAGCAAAGTGGCAGTATTTCCTTCTCTCGCTGGTCTAGCAGTTAAAGCTGAGGGTTGAGAACAAGACTCGGAGGTGGTTTCCTTGGCTCTGCTACATCCTCGCTATGTGACTGTAGGCAGGGCACTGCCCTCCTCTCTGACTCAGTTTCCCCACCTGGAAAATGGAGATGACACTTCACCTCACAGGGGTGTTATAAAGATTAATGTATCTGGGTTTGTCAAGTGCTTGGAGATCCTCAGCTGGAAGACACTAGAGAAGAGCAAAGTGCTACGTTAGAGAAAGAAGTGCCTTTAAATAAGAAGGGCAAGGCAGCCCTACCCAAGTCACAGCCACACGACAGCCTGGAACACAGTGACATCAGTGTGTTTGGTTTGAGGCTGGGATGCAGCATCGGTTCCTTTGTCCCTCTCTTTATCTTAGCATGGATGAATGGATAAAACGTCCCACAGGGACACTCCTACAGATAGGAAAAGACATGATACGAGTGGAGAATTCACTGCCAGGAGGAATTCCTGCTCTCAGTTACCCCCGTGTAAATCCAAAGTAACCCCACTGGCTCTAGCCCAGGATGTGAAGCATAAACCACTCTGCTTTTGTGCTGTGGCGAGGCCACTTTCCACTAATACACAATCTGGTGACTCAGAACACTCTCTCCTCCTTTGCTTGTACATTTACATATGTATTTATACTTATTGTAACATAGTTTTACTGTAATAAACCAGACTGTAACAACCCGCATGGGCCTGTTTAGATTTCCGAGATAAATGCTGTTCGCTCTCAGTGCTGGGAAGGAAAACTATCACAACACTCTGTGGATTAAAAACACCCATTTCAAGAACAGTGTTGGGCCATGCCCAGTTCTGGATTTGCAGTAACCTGGCAGATGTTCGAGGCTCTCTCTGTAACTATCACAGGAGCGTAGTCCACACCATGGACTAGCTAAAGTGTCACTTAGGGGGGCAATGCCAGCTTAACCTGATGGCTAAGGCATACTTGGCTGCTACAGAGTGTCCTTATTCAGAGCCCACAGGCAAACCAGCAAAGGACACCTGGGTCAGGTTTTGGCCCTGTTCACAGCATGATGCACACACACAATTCCACACAAGTGTTGTATAGTGATTGTCAGCAGGTGACACTGAGAGAGACTTATAGTCAGCTCCCAGGTGGTCAGCTCTTAACGTATCCCAGACAATGTTAGGATCCTGGTTAAAGGCAGGGGTTCAAAGGTTGGGTATAAACTAGTGGGGAGAAATGGGGCTGGAGGAGCAGTCTCAGGGTTACAAATGGGACAGCAAGCACACACACACACACACACACACACACACACACATACCTCCTCCCAGCCCTTCGAGGGGTAAAAGGCCATTTTAAGATGACTGCCAAGAATCCAAACGTTGATTGTGTTTTGCTGGCTCATTTTGCGCCAAAAGAAATGGGAGGCATTCCCAGGTGTCTGAACCCCTGGAGCACTTCTCACTCCCAACACACGCCTCCCTGCCCTTATCTCTGTGGTGGCAGGTGTTTAGGGCTGAGTTAAGGGCAGAGCTGGTCACTACAACACTGGCGCAGCCTGAATAACAGCTACACCAAGAGCACCTGTAAACCACTCATAAAAACAAATCAGACAGCTGGTTTTTCCAAGCACCAGTAAACAACAGCTGCTGTGTCTGTGGCATTTCCATTGTTATCAGTGATTTCCATGGGATGGGAGAGCCGCTGCGTGGGGGAGGGGACTAGTCCTTTTCTGAATCCCTGCCTTCACAGCAAGGGCCAATCTTAGGATTTATGAGGCCTTACGCAGTCCTGTTAAACTTGTGCCCTTATGCCCAGGGCGGGGTGGAGTGACAATATTTTAGAGATCTGATTTTATAATCTTCAGCAAAACACTCATGAAATATTTTTAAAGCAAATTTTAAACAAAGGTCCTGTCAATTCACGCAGTAAATTCAGAAACTGACATTATAGACCCGAGGTAGCAAATATCTGTTACATGGCTTCATTACCACTCAAAGGGCTCTGTCACAGTTTCAGTTCTGTCACAGGTTCTGTTAATAGGTCTGGCAGGCCTAGGTCTCGTTCAGTGTTTCTCAAAGGGTTCCATGAAAGCACTTTGAGAAATCTGTTAAGTGGCTACGCTGGTTTGCTTACTTACTGGTACCATGGCCATAGAGCTTTGCGGCTCCTATTGGCTCTGTTTCACCGTTTGCAGTCAATGGGAGCTGCGGGAAGCAGTGTGGGCTGGGCCGCCGCTTCCCCTCCCCTTCCATTGGCTGAAAACGGCAAAACAGAGCCAATAGGAGCCGAGAGGCTCCATGGCCGCAGTGCTAGTAAGGAAACAAACCAGCATGGCCAGTTACCAGGTAGGGTTGCCAGATGGTTTCACAAAAAATAAAAAATACTGACCCTCCCCTACCCCCCGCAAAATAAAAGCTGGGGAAAAAATTCTGTTGAGAAAAAAAAAAGGACCAGGCCGAAATGCAGTCATGGCCCCCCCTTTAATCCTGGGCCGCTCCTCCCCCTCCCAGGCAGCGGCCTTCTGTCAGGCGCCCGAGCCAGGCCTTGGGGAAAAAAAAAAATGTCCGGTATTTTCTGAATTTTTTTACTGGACGGAAGGCGCAAATACCGGGCTGGCCGGTTCAATCCTGGACAGCTGGCAACCCTATTACCAGGTTTCTCAAAGTGGCTTCGTGGGAAACACTGCTCTAGTTAATTAGACCCTCTCCAGAGGAAGCAAAGCCACAGAACAGGGATAGGAAGAGGCGGCTGGGTGGACATTAAGACCAAATTTAGGGTGTGGTGCCCAAATTTTTAGGTGCTCCACGCAGCACTGTATTCTGTATATGGGTAAAGGCAACACCATCCGCAGCCAGCTTCTTTCTTTCGAACCCACTCTCTCCCTTCAGCCATGTATTTTGCCTTGTACCCTAGGGTACACGGTGACAGCTGCAGCCCTGGTGTCACTGAAGATAACTGAAGATTTGTTAGACTGGAATAAGCAACGGCAGCTCTGCACGTATACTAATTATGTGGTCCCACAAGCCCTGTCTGTCTTGGAGTCTCATCGCCTGCAAGGCTGACTTTAGACACAGGCTGGACAGGCAGCCTTTAGTGTAGAGAAACACCTGTGCTATGGTATTCTACGCTGTTCCACTGCCGAAAGCAGCAAGGTGGCCAGAAAAGGCCAATGTGCTGAGAGCTCATCTGCAGTACAAGGGTTGGCCTGACCCAGAAGCCTCCCCAATGCCCAGAAATCTCTGGGAGCCCATTTCTAGGAGCACAGGTGGTAGAACAAGGCCAGCTGGGAGAAGGGGAAGGGAAGAAATGGAAGGTGACCAGCGAAAGGGAGAAGGGATAGAACTTGCTGAGTCCAGGGCTGAGATACTACCCATATTCTTCACCTAGGGTAACAGTATATCTGGGGTAGGGCCAGGTACTGCTCTGTATTGCCAGACTGGGCACAACTCGTGAGACTGACCACTTCCTCTGCATTCCCTTTTCCCTGCTCAATTCCAGTCCATGCAATGAGCGCAAGGGGCCTTTTCCAACTGGCTCCCATCCCCACTTCGCTTGTTGTGCTCTTGGCTTCTGCCTTTCCCTGTAGCCTTTGTTCTTGGGTGGTGGCCAAGTGGGTTTCGTAGATACGTGGAGTTTGAGGGGAGAGCTTAGTCACAGGCCAGGAGGAAACTGGACAGAGCCCTGCAGGTCTCTCCTCACCAGACCCCTGAGAATCTCAGTTCATCCTCCCTTCGAGGGGTAAAAGGCCATTTTAAGATGACTGCCAAGAATCCAAACGTTGATTGTGTTTTGCTGGCTCATTTTGCGCCAAAAGAAATGAGAGGCATTCCCAGGTGTCTGAACCCCTGGAGCACTTCTCACTCCCAACACACGCCTCCCTGCCCTTATCTCTGTGGTGGCAGGTGTTTAGGGCTGAGTTAAGGGCAGAGCTGGTCACTACAACACTGGCGCAGCCTGAATAACAGCTACACCAAGAGCACCTGTAAACCACTCATAAAAACAAATCAGACAGCTGGTTTTTCCAAGCGCCAGTAAACAACAGCTGCTGTGTCTGTGGCATTTCCATTGTTATCAGTGATTTCCATGGGATGGGAGAGCCGCTGCGTGGGGGAGGGGACTAGTCCTTTTCTGAATCCCTGCCTTCACAGCAAGGGCCAATCTTAGGATTTATGAGGCCTTACGCAGTCCTGTTAAACTTGTGCCCTTATGCCCAGGGCGGGGTGGAGTGACAATATTTTAGAGATCTGATTTTATAATCTTCAGCAAAACACTCATGAAATATTTTTAAAGCAAATTTTAAACAAAGGTCCTGTCAATTCACGCAGTAAATTCAGAAACTGACATTATAGACCCGAGGTAGCAAATATCTGTTACATGGCTTCATTACCACTCAAAGGGCTCTGTCACAGTTTCAGTTCTGTCACAGGTTCTGTTAATAGGTCTGGCAGGCCTAGGTCTCGTTCAGTGTTTCTCAAAGGGTTCCATGAAAGCACTTTGAGAAATCTGTTAAGTGGCTACGCTGGTTTGCTTACTTACTGGTACCATGGCCATAGAGCTTTGCGGCTCCTATTGGCTCTGTTTCACCGTTTGTAGCCAAGGGGAACTGCGGGAACCAGTGTGGGCCAGGTCGCCTCTTCCTGCGGCTCCCCCTGGCTGGCACGCAGTGCTAGTAAGGAAACAAACCAGCATGGCCAGTTACCAGGTAGGGTTGCCAGATGGTTTCACAAAAAATAAAAAATACTGACCCTCCCCTACCCCCCGCAAAATAAAAGCTGGGGAAAAAATTCTGTTGAGAAAAAAAAAAGGACCAGGCCGAAATGCAGTCATGGCCCCCCCTTTAATCCTGGGCCGCTCCTCCCCCTCCCAGGCAGCGGCCTTCTGTCAGGCGCCCGAGCCAGGCCTTGGGGAAAAAAAAAAATGTCCGGTATTTTCTGAATTTTTTTACTGGACGGAAGGCGCAAATACCGGGCTGGCCGGTTCAATCCCGGACAGCTGGCAACCCTATTACCAGGTTTCTCAAAGTGGCTTCGTGGGAAACACTGCTCTAGTTAATTAGACCCTCTCCAGAGGAAGCAAAGCCACAGAACAGGGATAGGAAGAGGCGGCTGGGTGGACATTAAGACCAAATTTAGGGTGTGGTGCCCAAATTTTTAGGTGCTCCACGCAGCACTGTATTCTGTATATGGGTAAAGGCAACACCATCCGCAGCCAGCTTCTTTCTTTCGAACCCACTCTCCCCCTTCAGCCATGTATTTTGCCTTGTACCCTAGGGTACACGGTGACAGCTGCAGCCCTGGTGTCACTGAAGATAACTGAAGATTTGTTAGACTGGAATAAGCAACGGCAGCTCTGCACGTATACTAATTATGTGGTCCCACAAGCCCTGTCTGTCTTGGAGTCTCATCGCCTGCAAGGCTGACTTTAGACACAGGCTGGACAGGCAGCCTTTAGTGTAGAGAAACACCTGTGCTATGGTATTCTGCGCTGTTCCACTGCCGAAAGCAGCAAGGTGGCCAGAAAAGGCCAATGTGCTGAGAGCTCATCTGCAGTACAAGGGTTGGCCTGACCCAGAAGCCTCCCCAATGCCCAGAAATCTCTGGGAGCCCATTTCTAGGAGCACAGGTGGTAGAACAAGGCCAGCTGGGAGAAGGGGAAGGGAAGAAATGGAAGGTGACCAGCGAAAGGGAGAAGGGATAGAACTTGCTGAGTCCAGGGCT